GAATAATGACAACGGAGACAACGTAGTATTCTTCATTTTTCTACTAACAGCGCTCTAGTGTGGCAGCGGACCTATCCGCTTAAACGGTGGAACCACTGGTGAGTCTCTGTCTTGCGATATTGGCGTCTTCTCGAGGGGTTCCTGACACGACGTCGGAACCGCTAGAGTTGACGAGGTGCTTGGTGGGGTAGGTTGCATATCTAATGCTTGAAACACATTCAGGCCTCTGAAACGACGATTAAGTCGAAACGTTAGGCCATTTCTAATAAATGTTCCACCTAACAACCTCGTAAGGCACAAGAATATCGAAACACTACTACACTATTACTACTAACGTGCCGAGGTTGCAAGAAGAGAGAAGCTGGAGGAGAGCACTCGACGCAGAGTTTAAAGATATCATTTTTCTTCAGTTTGCACCTCCCTTTGACGCTTCTCCGTTCCCCACATGGCTGTTTTTTTGGAAACCCAAAGTTTATGTCAGGCTCTGGTGGTCTGCTGTACCCATATAATTTCATTGAAGTTATGCTTATGTGTTTTAAACAACCAAAAGTACTGAAAGAGTATACAGGGGGGGGGGCAAAAAAAAGACACTTCGACCGAGTCACATATCAGCAAAGTTTTCGCAGCCCAGACAGAGGACGTGGATACGAGTACCAGGGCGGAAGATACCCAAGATGTTCCTCTAGCTCGCCCATCACCTTCATGTACACCAAAATATGAAGTCATCTCCAGTCGCAGCCTGACTGGAGAAGACCTTTGGAATTCATGTCACCTCCAAACAGCTGCGAAACTTCTAGTGTGGAGTCACCCATGGATAGCTACCTGGAGACCAGTACTCTTGATCTGGAAGACCTCCAACATCGAGCAGCTCCGACAACGTCGCTACGGTCTAGGACATCATCTTCACCACAGTCGCCAAGGCGCGGGTTGATGGTATGGACCGGACGTACCTGGAATGGAAAGACCGATATTTTCTTCGTGGACCCCGGACTGAAGGTGAGCGCTGGCGGTTACATCGAGCAACTCGAGAAGAATATCCTCCCCACATGTCGTCTTCTTGGAAACTTTGTACTGCTACAGGATTGGGTGACACCACATGAAATTGAAGGGCGTTGGAAAAACTCTCGCCTACTTGGAATGGAAGGGCGTTGAGTTCCTGAAGAAGATGGAATATCAAAGCGGGTCACCTGACCTAAACCCCATCAATTACCTGGTTCGGGCGGAGTTCAATAGGGTGGTCTACAGTGGCGGAGAAATCAACGATCTCGCTGAACTCAGGCACCGAACCATGGTTGCGTGGCAGAATCTCTCGATCCAGAAGGCTGTGGCGGAGCATCATGATAGTATTTAATATGCTCTTTAATATGGTAGTAAAAATGTCCGATCAGAATTCAATAAAGTGTAACTTATAGCGCCTCGAAAGTCAAGGGAGGAAAGTGTTTTTTTATTGGGCCCCCCTGTATTTCACGAGTTCTAGATTTTAAGTTGGAATTCAAATTTTTGTATTGCAGAGGTCGGAAAGTTTTGCGGCTATTCTCTTGTTCGCAATATTTTCATACGCAAATAAATATAAAAGGAGCAGTCTTATCGCTTAATTAATCCTGATTACATATAAGGGTGTTGCTCCGTGGTATGCTACACATTAGTCTGCTATCCTTGCGTGCCTCATGGGTTCATACTTCGCATAAGCGTACACCTATGACAGCGTTCCGTTGTAACGGTAGCCAGCGACTAGGAAAGTATGGATATGGATCTAGCGAACGCCAGTATCTACCAGCGTCTCCCAGCGTCCACCAGCATCCATCAGCGTTTCGAGGGACTAGGGAGGTACTGGTATCGTTCTAGCGAATCTGTTGGACTTGTGTAAAACTGCCCGCGAAAACAGAAGGTATAGGCATCGATCCAGCGTTTCGAGAGCCCGCTAGCGTTGTGAGCACTTTGACCGCCCCCCAGCGTTTTCAGCTCTAGTCGATATCTATGCATTTCTACAGGTAGCAGACGCAAAGTATGGGCGCCGCCTTAGAGTGCCTTCATACTTCGCTCTCATCGCGTATGGCGATCGAAGGGTGTTAGAGCGCTACTTCCTATTCACGGCAACGCAGCAGAGACACAGAGTATCTTCTGACTTGCACAGAAGGAGCTAATCAATTTGAGAAATGCAGATGCACAGAGAGAGTTGGCGCGCCGAAACTTTATCACGTTTATGGGATTGGGTGATTTTGATGCGGCGTACGTCATCGCGATGGCGCCGTCCGTTTCAACGCATTCGGTGTGACGAAAAAGTAACGCTCTACACCCGCGGTCGGCAGCGACCGTGCCCGTTGCGCCAAATATCGGCCGATGTGGGTACTCGACATCCTTGTGCTAATGTTGTCCAAAAACAGTGTTTCGAGGTCAGATAAATATTCAATATTTTTGTGGTGTTCAATTTGTAACAATACTTTCTGACCAACTGGCAATGTCATTTAGCTGCCTGAGCTTTGTGAGAAGCTGTTTCACAGAAGATCCCATCAGAGAATGCATTTACGTTCAATAAGTTCTTCTGAAAACGCTGAACTCAGGACTTTTTCAGCTGGCGGTGGACGAGGTGGCGGCTTTGGTAATAAGCGTTTCGGTGCGGCTGCTGGGGCACCAAGAGAGGCACAGCAGTTTTACTGCGAGGTAACCTACTTTTTGGGCATTCTCACTATAACTTTTCACTGTTCATTTGTTCCATCAGTTGTTTGTGTAGCAGAAATGAAGTTATCGTTGTGAGCTATTTAGGTATGCAAGATATCATGTGCAGGCCAGCTGACATACAAGGAACACTTGGAGGGTCAGCGTCATAAGAAGAAAGAAGCCCTAGCGAAAGGGGAGAACAATCCAAGTCTGCCTAAAAGCAAGGTAGCTCTTTTGTTCCTTTTTATGTATGTCCAAGACTGGTTTTTTTTTGCTTTTATGACAGCAAGTGAGTGGTAGCATGAAAATGCCACGTTTTAATTATGCATAGGGAGGTATATAGCGTTGTTGGAAAAGTCTCCGCGGTTTTTCTCCACGAACCGGTCCCTGTCTCCAGCAGCACTTACCCGATTGCCTCGAATAAACGCATGTTTGAAAAGTAACATTCCAGCTCACAGATAATCGCTAATTTGTTGCTCGCGTAAAAAGTTATATCAGTTTAAAAATGAGTGAAATATCTGAAGAAATACTGTATGTAAGCCTTTTTACTACAAAAAGAGGCAAGACCGCTGCAAGAACATCTCAAAAGTCCGTGAAGTGTACGGAGGAAATGGTAGGTTCTGGTAGTTAACTAGGATCCAGGAGTGGTTTGCGATTCCGTTCTGGAAATTTAGATGTTAAAGATGCACCTAGCTCTGGCCGACCAGTGTTTGGTGGGACTGGAAGGAAATAGTCTGTTATGAACGGTTGCAACCTGGTGACACTATCAATCCGGTCATGCACTGTGCACAGCTCGACTATTCGAACGAAGCAGTCAAAGAAATGAGACCAGAATTGGCCAGCAAAAAGGGTGTTGTCTTCCATCACGACACTTCGTGGACACATTCATCATTGATGACTCAGAACAAATTGACTTTGTTGGGAAGTTTCGATGCATCCACCGTACAGCCCGGACTTTGTATCGACAGACTATAATTGTTTCGATCTCTGCAAAACCCCCTTGATGGTAAGAAATTGGCAGACAGAAGCGCCGCTGAAAATTTTGGCCAAGTTCTTTGTCGATAAACCACAGGAGTTCTACATCAAGTGGAATCATGAAATTACCAAATGAATGGCAAAGGTTCAAAAATAGTAATGGTCAATATGTACTTAGTGCGAATTAATTTTCAATAAAAAATGTTTGTCCAAATATGCACGAGAAAACCGCGGAGACTCTTTACAACCTAATATTATATAGTATGTGATGATGTTTGAACCTCAACTTTTCCAGTCAGTTGTTGAAAATTGAATTTACGATTCACTAGGTTTTCATTTGCAGGTATCATTCCGGTGTGATCTCTGTAATGTCACGTGTACCGGTCAGGATACGTACAATGCTCATGTGCGAGGTGCTAAGCATCAGAAAACGTTAACTCTTTGTAAAAAGCTGGGCAAGCCCATTCCATCGACGGAGCCTACAATTATTCCGCCGTCAGAGATGGGTGGTGTAATTCCTCCACCTCCCGGCGCTTCTACAGCAACCACTACTTCACCTGCAACTGCTGCTACGAACAGGGTTTGTCATGTATATTGTCATATGAGGAGATCCCTTTAAAATCATGAGATATGAAGCGATTGTTTCACCGTGTGATTTCTAGGTTGTGGGGATCTCCACCGTTAATTTTGTTGCTGGAGCTAAACTATCAACAACAGCTGGACAACTTGAAGCAAAGAAGCAGCAGGTTATGCAAGCCGTGGGTAGTGCTGGTGTGAAACCTGCTGAAGAGCCCCCAACGCAGGCAATTAAAGGACAAACGGAAGAGCTTCAGGTATCTTTTATTGAAGCTGTATCTTTCATTAGTCATAACAGTCTCGGTAACCTGTATACAGGCTCTTATCGCTGCCGAACAAAGCTTGAAGCCAGTCGGTGAAGAGTTTGTGGAAGCTCAACGTGATGCAACTGGAAAACTCCTACAGTATCTCTGCAAGCTGTGCGACTGCAAGTTCAGTGATCCTAATGCGAAGGAAATTCATCTAAAAGGGCGTAGACATCGGCTGCAATACAAAATGAAGGTGTGCGATGGCTTATTTGATCTTCATGTTTATTGGCTTCATTGTTTTGCCTTTATATTGTGACATTCTAATGTGTTCTTATTATCAAGGTTGATCCAAATCTGGAAGTAGAAGTCAAACCGGCAACGAGTCGAAGAGGAACCAAGTATGAACGTGGACGTGCTCCTCCTGCAATGATGCCTCGTGGTCCTCCCATGCCTCTAGCAGGGTAATTGGTTTCTCTTACATGAGTGTATTCAAGAGAATAGCTGGCTCTGAGCGTGTGGTCTGGATGGGGATGGCGAGGGGTGGGGATGTGTAGCTCTTTGTGTAAAACTGGGATAACTGTACCGCGAAATCACTTTCTTCTGAAGAACACGGTCGACCTACTGCTCATCTCCTTCATAGAGCTCTAGTTTTGTACAAGAAGTCTTGATGTGTTCCTTTCCCCATTGACCCTTTCCTCATGAAACTGCGCGCAGGACTGCGCGAAATCTGATTTGAAAAGTGTGCATCCCAATGGATTATTGTTGAGAAATATAAGGGGGGGGGGTGCTTCCTTTCAACGTGACGCCACCTTCTGATTGGGCGATCACATAGCATCATTTTCCCATAGAACCGGGCCAATGTTTGCACGCATACTTCAAAAAATGGCATATAGCGCTATATTTTTTTAAGAGGGTATCGTGGTACTGTCAGTGGCCAGTTGCTTAATAAGCTGGCAAGGCAACTTTGCTCATTGGTGGCCATACCGGATAGTCATGCACTTTTGCTCATCGCATTCTTTATTCGGTTGAATTTGTAGAACTATTGTACGTAGTATGTTATAGTGTGACTTTGCCACGTAGCATTGGTCCATTTGGGCCGGGAGGGCCTGGTATGCGTGGTCCGTGGTTCGGCAATGGTCCAATAGACGGTAGACGATTCGAAAGCACTGATGATCGTCACGTTCAGGTAATAAAAGGGATTTTCTTTTCTGTCTGGATCCTACCTTTTCAAGTCATGGAAACACATATTTTAGGCGAAGCATACTTCGATCTATCCAAATGATGAACAACTCACGGTCATTGAACGCCTTGTGACTGAAACAGAAAAAGCACTGAAGAAAGTGTCGGACTACTTCAATGAACGGTATCTTGTGGCTTTCTAGGGCGTTTTGCAACGTCGTAGGCCCCTGACTACTGCTCATAAAAGCATTTGTAGTGACCATCCTGAAACAAAACCTTTGATTGCCGAAGCAGAAGGGGAGAAGGCCAAGGAAGCAGCGGCACCGGAAAAGGATCGCCTCCTGAAAGGAGTGATGCGTGTTGGAATGTTATCAAAAGGATTGCTCCTTAAAGATGATACCGAGGTAAGGCTGTTTGCTCCAGATGGGCGCTTTGATAGGTAATCAGTAAAGTAAAGTTCATCTGTTCAGGTTCATTTAGTCGTACTATGTTCTCGCATTCCTGGTTTGGCTCTGCTAAAAGAAGTTGCATCTCTGATACCACTTCACTATGAGGTTGTGTGACTCAAGTTTTTCTTGATCTTTGCTTGAAAGAAATGGGCGAGATCTGCCTTGCGGGGTGAGGGGAGGGCATTTTGTTAGTTCTGGCAATTCTTGTGGAATGGTAAGCTCATACTATTAGATAACTCCACAAGAGTTTACAAGTCTCCCTGCAAAACAACTCGGCATTGACAAATGGTAAGCTAGCAAAATCCCCCCCCCCCCCCAACGGCGAACTGCGCAAGAAACATTAGAGCCAGCCCATTTCTCAAGCAATTTTATGTTGTTTCTTCAGAAACCCGAAGGATCTACAGTTGATATCACATTAGAGGAAAAAACTGCGTCAATGATCTTGCGGCAGAGCTCCGTGCCGATTCAGTGCCGGATCACTTTGACATCTCGTGAATTTAGGGAAGATGCGGCAGGAGGTTAGATTTTCTCTTGACCCTTTTTCTTTCATTTTCGATCTTGGTTTTGTGTCATTTTAGTTTTAGAAATGATGGTGTCTCTATTTACATCAGTTTGCGTTGCCTACTGTCACAGTGTTGTCTGTTGTGCTAAGCAAATTGTGTTGCTAAATATCCTGGAGAAGTGGAGCTCTAGTTGTTATGGGTGTCTTGTATTCAGTGCCACTCAGTACTCGTAAATATGCGTTTTTGAAGGAGCCAAGCCACAGTCTTAGAATGTTGAAGACGGGACATTTGAGCGGTTATTGGCACGTAATCTACTAGGTATGTCCTAAGTGGCCTGGGAAAGTTGGAAAGTTTACCATAGGCATGAACCAGGTTCAATCGTTGAAATTGTCCTTGAAGGCAAAGCCCACGCTTATTGTGTGGGCGAGGACAATCAGCCACTGTGCCTCTCTCTTTGGTGTGCCCACCATCATCCCAAAACGATGAATAGAAGGCCGCCATTGCGTGAAAGGAATCGAGAATTAAGTTTTGATGATGGGTGAAGGATGAGAATACTATTATAGTTGCTTAGGCGACGAAGGGACCTGTGTCTTCAAAGGCAGAAGAGCAATATTCAAAATCGTCGGGAAAAGAACATATCGATCGGGAAGTTTGGCATTCGCTAACGCGGTTGACAGTTCTCCCGATCGATATGCATTGGACCCTTTCACTATTCTTCTGTTTATCCCGTTCTGTGGTGGGGTCCGCTCTTCTGATGTGATGACGCCACTTCTCCCATATGAATGCCTGGTCGGGATGGATTCCAGCTAGTTTTGAATCTGTATTCAACGTGTCGTGCTAGCGCTGTTTTGGACGTCTCGTTGGCCGTTTTCCTGGGACTTCAAGCTGAAGGTTATCTGACCCTTCCTCTTATGCGCCGATTAGGTCACATACTGTGCCTAATAATGCCTGATTAGAAGAAGTAGAAGAGTGTGTAGGAGAGCCACATCGAAACAGCAGTGGTTTTCAAGACTGCGTTTCTTCCTCTCAGGGAGTGCCAACCCCTTTGGACTTTCGCCGAGTATGAACGAATTCCGTGTGTGACATACTCTCTGTGATTCTTGGTTATATCTGAAATTCGAGTGTTTTGCCGTGTTCACTTTGTATTCATTTTCGTTAAGAATTTCTTGTCGTCATCTATTTTAATCACCTTTGTATTTTTTGATTTGGAAGTTTAGAGAATGTCCGTTATTTCGGAAGAAAATCGTGGCGTTACGTTGTGGAATAGCGTTTTTACACGATTTCATAATGTAACGTTACATTTTCGAATACGATGTCGGCGATGATTACTCAACGGAATGTTATTCAACTGAGAATTGAGCAACGTTCTTACGTTACGTGTGCAGGGGAGTGAAAGATGGTCTACGAAGCGTTAGCTAGTAATTCTTACCAGCGTCTAACATACGGTTTGGTAATTGTTGCTCAATTGTTAAAACATTTCAAACGAAGTTCACAAGAGGAGACGCTGGTTCAAAAATGTTTTTACCTGTTGTGTTTTTCTTCTACAAGTAATCAAAACAATAATTTCCATGTGTTGAGACCATCTTTCATGTAGCGGGTTGCGTATTACAGACGCAGCACCACTCCCGCCCCCTGGAGATGCTCTAGACAAAGAGGCTTGCCTCAAAGCACTGGCTCAGCTGCGCCACGCTAAGTGGTTCCAGGTTTGTTGCTCGTCACCTTTTTAAAACTCAATTGACATTTGACATTTTTGCTGAATGTCTTTACACCATAAATCGGTGACAAGCTAAACCTAGGGTCTCAGAGGTGGATAATTTCTGCCACAATTCGTTACAATTCCTATTTGCTTTGTGTTTATCAGAAAATCTGAACACCCAAAAAGCAAGGGATTCGTAAAGGCAGCGGGCACGATGTCTGGAGGGGGTCGTTGTGCCAGCATCATTGGTGGGAGGGCTGCGAGAGGGCGGTTGCCCATTCCTCACTTAGCCCCTTCACCGGTGGCGTTGGCGACAACTGCCGGCCCTCAGCCATCGCACCCATTGGATCCAACCAGGAGAAGATCACTCAGCATTTGGCTCATGACCATGAGGGGTTTGTGGAGCTCATTGTTTTTTTCATTCAGCTGTGGAAGACTTGGCAGCAAAGTTATATGGAAATACCCCTATGGATTTTTGCACTGTGTAATTCAAACCCCCACCTCATGG